CGCACTTCCTCCAAATAGCACCCGCGGCGAGCACACTTTGTGCGCTCTCCGTTGCGACCTAATGCTAATGAGAAAAGTGAATTGTTTGAAAAGGTTGTTTGTTGTTCCAGCTGTTTTGTTGTTGTCGTTTATTGTTGCTTTGCCTGGTAGCTCGGCGGCGACAAAAGTGTTTTGCCTTTGCCGCTTTATGACATGTTTAACCAACAACAGGACACTCCAATGTCCAGTTGCCGTCGTCGTCGTCGTCTGCCATTGATTGATGCAGCATCAGCCCAGAGCAAAAACTGCCAGCAAACAACAACTTTATTTAAAGCGGCAATCATGAAATATTCATGTTGCATGCAACAACAGCAGCAGCAACAATAACAACAACAATAGCGACAATCGCTGCATGACAGGACAATGGCGAACATGTTCCCACAGCGTGGCCATAAATTGTTGAAACTTTTGCTGCTATTCAGAGTTGATAAAAATGCAATAGATCTAGCTGTACATATACACATATATAAACAATTATAATGACCATAATTCATGCACGGTTTATTATGTGCCTTCAGGAATTCAGTAGCAAGAAACTTTTATAGAACTTCCTTTAAGACAACTCAAACTTAAGAAAAATTTTGAGTGCGTCAAAAACAGACTCTCGCGAAAGTAAACGTGTGTGAGTATGGTCACACAAAATTTCCAGGCTAATCGCAAAAATTTAAGGATATCGCATCAAAAGAAAGTTTATGCTGATTGGGAGAAGGCAAAAGAGGAAAGAGACAGAGACAGAGCAAGATAGAGAGCATTAAAAAGCTACCAAGCTATGGCTTAAGCCACTTCAGTCTTTACAAAAAATTACACAATTCTGAAAATATGCGAACGTTAAGGATATCGCACAAAAAATAAGTTCAGAATGTGCGAAAGCATGCGAGACAAAGACAGAGAGCGCATGGAGAAGCTACAGAGAAAGGGCTTATGCACACTTCTTATCAATCTCTTCAATCTACAAAAGAGCTCACAAAATTTTTAAATGTATAGAAAAACGGTTATGCAAACGTTAAGGATAGCGCACAAATAGGAAGTTGAGAGTGTGAGTGAGAGAGTCAGAGAGAGAGAAAGAGAGAGAGAGAGAGACAGAGAGACAGAGAAAGAGCACGGAAGAGCGCTAATGAAAGATCTGCACAGCTTAAGCCAAAACCAAAATAGTAGTTGGCATTTAGATGCCAACAATTAGATGGCAAAAGCAGTTGTGCAAACGTTAAGGATAGCGCACAAAGAGGAAGGTTAAAATTCAATACGTTCAAATTAACTAAGAAAATACATAGATGTTAAAAGCACTATTTACATAATGTTAACTATTGCCTCTGTCCAAAACTCACAGAATAAACACCTCAATCTGCAAATTTCCAACCACTTTGCAAAGGTGCAAGGATTAAGTTATACAAAATGCTGGTCATCAATCTTAAAGGGGTCATCAGCATGTTAAATACGGCCATGGTCTCAGTCCATTTTCCGAATTGCCTTTAACATATTTTCTGCTATACTTGTTTGCCTATACATCTTTTTAGCTAAGAACGCCTGCTGCTCTTCAATATGTTACTAGAAAACCCCGCAAATGCTGCCTGCCTGCCGCCTGATCCACTTCAGCCGTTTTGACCATTTATTTGGTCAGCTTAAGATTGACCCACATCTGGCAGAGCTTAGGTTACCAATTTTATATGCGATGTTTGGCCAACTCACAGCCTGATGTCCGACTGGCAGCTTGTTAGTCACTTTAATGCCCAACCACGTACCGACCTTGTGGTCATCAGCTTTAACTATTCGTTCAGACGAGAGTGCATTGGAAAATATTATCGGGCACACAAACTATAAATTGGCTTAAGCCAACCAGCTGAAAACTTGCCCAACATCCTATAGCTAACAAAAATCATGTGTGTGTGTGTGTGTGTGTGTGTGTGTTTGCCTTGAAAGTTGCCTCCAGCAGCTACCAAAAAGTGCCGAGCCGTGGAGGAGGAGAAGACCAAACAGCAGAAAGACGAACAACGTTTGACATTTCTGAACTTTCAAGCACTCAAGTTGCAGTTAGCCATTATTGTACCCCATACCCATTGAAAACAGAAAAGCAAGGGTATGTTTAAGTTATGAAAGTTCATGCAACCCATTTGGATAGAGTAATTCACACACAAGTTATTGAATTTGGTTAAAAGAGAACAGGGTATCTCCTAATCGAGCATTGTCGACTGGAGCACTCCTGCTGGCTGTTGTTTGTCCCAAAGTTTTTGCAAACAATCATGTTTTGCATTTGATTTGCAATAATTTTCTTTTTTGGCTAATTTTTTACATGACATTCACTTGTCAAGTGCAAGTTTTCCCAATGACGCCGCATGACTTTTACCCAAAGCCAAAGCCAAATGACAACCAGTTTTTTTGCCAGCATAAATTGCAATTGGCCAGGCCTAATGCTTGCGTTAAGTCTGTAAACTGTTTTTGACGTTTTTTCTCGACAATAAAAGTGACATTATATCATGACGCAAAAACTAAGAAAACTTTTACTTGATAAGACAGATATTGCGCACTCATCACGCTATTTACACAGTAAAAACTCTTGATTTCAATTTTAAACTGTTTTAATGCCTGTCATCTAAAGCAGGCACATAACTGACTTTAAGCTTAAAATATTTGCAATTTAGCAAGTTTTAGTGAAAAATTAAGGGAATTCCCTTCCCTTGGCCATGTTCGAGTTCAAGGTAAGAAAAAAAAATGTTTTAAATTTAGTATTTTATAATTTGAAAATTAAACTTTACTAAGCAAAGATCCCGAGTCTGGCTGCTTTGCAGGCGAACGTCCTTACATCGAGCTACTCACGCTCTAATCCTAATCTTGATTTAATGCTAAATGTTAAATAAACAGCTAAAGAGAGAGCTTTAAAGAAGAGGTTGAGAGCATTTAACTGAGGTAAGCAATATTAAATGAAAAACTGCTTTGCAAATTCAGCATTATTAAATTGTCGAGTTTCATTTCATTTAAACGGAAAGTTTTCAATTGGAAGCGAAACAAAGTAAAGCCAACATTTTCAGTTTTCAATCACTCAAAGTTTGATTGGTTTTCGGGTTTCAAATTTAAGACAAACCTTGAATGTCTTCAGTTATATATATATATATGTTAAGTTTAAAGTTTGCATTTTCAATTTACTTAAAAGTTGTCCCTCTCGCAGTTTCCACAGCTTGCGCATTAATCAAAACTCAACAAAGAACTCGCAAATATACATTCCTTCTCAGCTTCATTAGAGAGCGAGCGAGAGAGAGAGAGAGAGAGCGCGACAGAGAGGAAGAATGTGAGCGAATTCCGTGCATATTAAAAATTCATTAATGATATTTTTGCATTGCTTGCTTTTGTTGTTTTGTGATGTTTTCTCCTAAGTTTCTGTACATTAATATTAATGCGTAATTGCGTTTTCATTGCACTGGCATTCTGGCATATTATCCCAGTGACCGACTTATCGATGCCCTTTCCCCGCCTTATGCTCATTTGCAATACGCACACCAGATGGCGGCAGGTTCTTCAAGCATGGATACACCCTGTTTCTGATTGGATTAAGCTCGTAATACACTTGTGTGTGTGTGTGCGTCATTTGCATATTGTAGTCTAAATTTGAGCGTGACAGCAACGAAAACAACAACAACAACAACAACAACAAATGGCATGACAATAATGAAAATTGAATTATATGCTTAATGAAAGCGTCGCCCTAAAGTTGCTCCTCGAGTTCTGCTCCTAGCTCCATTTCCCATTCCCCCCACCCCTAACACAATAGCACAGATTTACGTCATTTGCATTCTGCTCTCTTTGTTTGTCTTTTACTCGTGCGCTGTTTATGTAATACATAAATTCATCTGTCGTGCTTTTGTTTATGATTGCAATTTACATTTTATTAGTCGAACGTTGCGTAGGACTTCTTAAGTGAAAACGAGCGAAAATTCAATTTAGTTTTGTCCGCCCGCAGCCTTTCCTGATGCGTCGTCCCATTGACAAATTAAGAGCTTTTCACACAGCACTTGATGCATTTGCATTGCTAATTAGATCAATTGCAAATACATGGGTCACGACTCAATTGGTAAATAAATCAATTATTTGGATTAAATTGTTTACACAGTCAAAGCTCCAGTTGCCTAAGGCAAATATCTTCTCCATTTCATAATTTTGCAATTTACTGCATTTCCTCTCTCTCTCTCTCTCTCTCTCTCTCTCTCTCTCTCTTAAGCAAATGCGAAATAAGATGGAACTTTGCGTGTTCGCTTAAGAGAACTCTAACCGTAAATCTTTTGTTTTCTTTTGGGCAAGTCTTCTTTGCGCTGCTTTAACCGCTCACCCACGTGAGAAGCAGCATAAGTATCGATAATCCCATTTGCTTTACATAAACTATTACATACAATTGGTATTCGAGTTACCCTGTGCCGGCATTCAGTCGCACGCAACACACAGGCAATATTCCAATTGGCCGCATGTTTATATAATGTAGTTGCTTACCCCGCCAACACGTGAGTTAGGCTGTGCCGGCATCCAGGCTTACGCTAATTCCAATTAGTCTCTTGTTCGTCCAATTTTCCAATAACCAGCTCTTGTCGCCAAGGCAATATATCTGATTAGCTGATGAACACCAAAAATAATTATCTAATTCACATTTTAACCGCTCGCACTGTAAATTATGGTAACCATGCAAATCGCACTGCCAGCTACACACACACACAAAACGCTCACTTGCAGGAATTTAAATGCGCTTTGCCTATTTACTCGCTTATATACTGGAAAGCGGCTGCGACTGGAAACACATTTTTTACACTAATTCCTTTTGCTTGCGCGCTTGCCCTTGTGATGGTAGCGATCGCGATAACTCTGCTATTGGCACTTATCGATTTTCAATGTTAATAAGCAGTCGCCTGTTTAGGCTTAACATTTCCTTATGTAAAGTAGGAACGAAAACTGCAGACATGCCTGGACATGCAAGCATGTACATATATATGTATGTAGATTATTTATTTATTCATTATTCACAATTATTTTCCGTGGGGATCCAGCGGCTCGAATTCAAATAGATTCAATAAATCATCGCCATTTGCCAGTCTGGGTTCCTTCACTTCGTCCTTGCAAGGCGCGGGCATCATTTTAAATAGCTCCATAGATTTATCATCGACTCTGCATCTTTTCATTTTGAAACAACCGCCATTATTGCGCAACAAATACGCTGGCTTGCAGCCGCAGTTGCTTTCACAGTTGTAGACGCAATCGACGCCCTCTCCTGGGCAATTTTCCTTGCAATAATGATGACAGGATTTAAACATCGGATTGCGGCAGGGCACCTGCCGCTGCGCCCAGCTTGCATCGAGGACTAGCAGAAGCCAAAGATTGACAAAGATCACCCAATTCCACATGGCAGCTGTCTACCTGACAATGGCGAGCTGTTTGCCCGAGCTTCCTCTCAAGCTGCCGTAAACAATTGATTCGCTAGCGGAAATTCGGCACATTTAATCGCTTAGCCAAGCTAAGCAAGTTATATAACAAAAAGCTGCACTAGAGGTGGACGCGTGACACGAACACGCAGGTGAACACGACTTTACACGGAAGCTAATGGCATATGGAAAACATACATATGTATGTATCTACTTAAATTTGCAATCTAAAAACAAATGAAACATAAAGAAAAATCGTTTTGTCCAAATATATTAAAAATGAAAAATGAATCAAAAATCGTGCGTTTCGTGTGTCGTGTTGGAACACAAGTCCAACACGCGCCCATCTCTAATGGGAACGCCTTTCCATGTGACACTTCAACTGACTGTACCGAACGCCAGTTGCCTGTCCAGGCGCAGCTGAGCTTGGACGCACTGCAGCGCCAGCCGCGCTGCCTGCGTATCAATGTGTATTTACATATATAGTATATGTTCATGCCGCTGTGTGTATGTGTGAGCTAGCTAATCCCTGGGCGGCGGGCCGCGTGGACGCAGCACGCTCTCGAGCAGATTGGGTCCGGGCTGGTTCTTGGGCCTGGGCGTGGGCGTCAGCGAGCGCGTGTGCGGCGCCGCATCCTCCTTCTTGTGCACCGCCGAGGTGGCTGCACGACGCGCCCTAATCTTCTCCTCCATTTTGCTGGGTACCATAAAGCAATTGGACTCCTTGTAGACGGGCTTGCGGCGATCGTTCCACGGGAAGGTCCACTGTATGGGCGTAAAGTCGCGTCGCCAGGGCTTGCGGGGCTTGAACCAGCAATCGCATGTCCAGTCCTCCTCACCGGGTACATCATCATCACTGCAAGAATCAGGCGGCTGTCAATTGTGGAACCAATCCTGCCACACCCCAGCCCACTCTGTCTACTTACCCACGCACAAAGACGCGCACATAACGGGAGGATTTACGAAAGATCTGCAATGCCTCGTTGAAGGTCAGCTCCAAGGCGGGCACATCGTTTATCTGGGTTATCTCATCCCCAATACGCATGCCACCGCGCTTGGCCAGACCCGTCGGCGAGACATTGACAATGGTCAGCGGCTCGAACTGATCTATGCCGCCAGTTACCTCTATGCCCCACATGGCATCGTAAAAGCTCATGATCCTACGATCCGTCTCCAGGGTATAGGTCATCTGCAGCTGATACTCGACATTATCGAATGCATCCGAGTCGTACTTGGGCACCTTAATCTTCGAGTCGAACATGTTTGGGGCTTATTGCCTAGGGAAACACCGTGTGCAAAACTGACGACGTGACCGGCTCTGCGTCCTCTTCACACGTTTTTGCGCCTTTGGCGGCGTTGGACGTTTGCTTTTATAGTCGCCGACGGATGCGACACTTGGCAGCGAGTCGCCATTCGCCACTTGCTACTCGCCGGGTGTCCCTGCTCGGTCCCAGCCCATTGACAATGTCAATGTCTGTGTCTGTCGCATCGCTTGCCAAGTTAATTGACCAAATGTATTCGATTCGCCTTCGATTTGCATTTAATTGTGTCTATTTTTATGTCTCTGACCACAATCAAAGCGGAAGCTCATTGTGTGAGCTGTTTTTTATTGTTTTCTCTATCTGTTTGCCGGGGTGTTGGGTTGCGACCAGTTCAAAAGGCGATTCCAAGCCAGCCGCTCGGGAATCAGCCAAGCAGCTCCGTTTAAGCCAAGTCCAGTTTTCGCACACCTCGCTGAGCAGCAGCAGCAACGGCAACAGCAGCCGAAGCGGTGGCCAGTTCTTAAAGTGCTAACAAGTCCAAAGCGAATGTCCAAGCGGTTGGATTTCACTGACCTCAATCGGCGACTAGTGACAATGCAACTGCCAATAATGACTGCAGCAGGCATAGCTCAAGCTGATACCCTGTGCCTAGCTAAGCAGCATACTTTTATAATAAACCAACCGCCCACACAGTCTGGGAAATGGGAAATACATTCATCATTAGCTTCGGTGCTTATATTCCGATCTTTATACACATTTCAGGCCTTACATAAGGCACACAAAAGTCTGCATATAACAAAGCCCAAGACAAAACACTCACAAATGGGGTTTTTTCTAAATTTTTGGTGGAAATGTGAAATTTTCCAGCTCTGTGTATACTAAATCTAGCTTCTATCTAGCTTTTATAAGCTTCGAGATATGATAAAAAACAAAATAACTTTATTGATTTTTATCCATTTCATGGAATAGGGGGAAGCTATCCATGAAAAAAGCTAGGTTCAAAATTTCAAGGCTCTGACTCTGAAAGTCTCCGAGATCGTCGCGTATGCTCAGCACGAATGTGTAATCCCTATCGGCTTGGGGAACGCTACTTCAGCCTGTCACAAGTATTTGTACAAAACCATCATACCTTTTCACACATTTTCAATCGGTTTAGGGTTAAAAAAATAGGTGATTTCAAGCAGTTATATTCGAATTACAGGAAGAATCCGTATAAGAATCTCTGGCGACTGAATGAATAAAGTATTGTATAGAAGAACCTGCATTTCAGAGACCTTACCGAGAAACTGACATGCCTTAAGATGCACCTACCTTATCAAGAATCATCGGTCATCCCTCTGCCCGTAGATGCATTTACTACATTTCATTATACCCCATTTTCAATGCGTAGAGGGTATAACGAGCGAGACCAAAACTGAAGCTCCCAACGGCAACTGCCGAGACTTAAATGCGGATTTTACTGGCTGCTGCTGTTGTTCGTCGTCTTTTGAATTATTCATTTGTGCAAAAACAACAAAAGACCCATAAAAACCGAGATGGTCAGCAGGCAGGTTAACTGAAAAAGAGACGCCAACTACCAACAACCAGCTACTAGCTACCAGCTACGAGCGGCCAGCTGCCAAATGCCAAATGGCAAAAGGCAATGACAAGTTGCCTAATTACCGCTGCTTCTCTTGGCCGCAGCAGCAACGAGCGTTAAGTAAATTTGTCCCGCTGCGTGCTGGTCTTGGCCAACTTAATGCGCATACCTTAAGCCCCCGCCAGCCGCTCCCACCACAGGTTAAGCCCTGGTATATATCCTGCAAAGTCTGCGATTTGCATCGGCGACAATTGCTTTGGCCTTATTCCTGTGCGCAGCGCACAATTGTGTCGAAGATTTAGTGCGCACTTTGGGCCCGCATTTACATAACGCATACGCAATGTGGTCCGTGGGCAACTGGCAACTGGGAACTGCCTTTCAAGTGACTTTATTAGCTACGCAAAGCCCACAGGACTTGGCTTTGCATATGCTACTTCAGCTGTTCTTCAGTCGAACTTGTGTCGAAGCAGAACGACATTTATGCAGCTAAATAAAATGTGTATTAAATGAAATACGAAAAAATGCTTAAGGGCAGATAATAAAAAACAAAATAAACTTAAAGCAAGGATGATTTCTAATTAAATTTGTGTGAGCTCTAATTGCCCAGCTATAACATATTTCAGAGATACATGATTGTAGGAACAAAGTTTCACAAAAAACAAAATTAAAAATATAAACTTAAATTTAACAGCTCATTCTAATTATTTATTTTACTTATTTATTACATAAAAAAATGTACATGACCTTAGTCATTACTTCTAGAAAAACCTCCCTAATACTTATGCTTACTTTTATATTATTTTCAAAATTTGTACATGCTCTCTCTCTCTCTCTCTCTCTAAGCTGTTATTTCGACCAAAAACGCATTATTATTATACCTTTATAGAGGGTATTATTATTTTTCATGAAATGTGTGACGCATATAAGGAGACATATCTGAACCCATAAATGAGAAATATTCTAGATCAGCATCAACAGCCTAGTTGATATCGACATTTCCGTCTGTCTATCCGTCTGTCTCTTGCTATGGGAACTAGTTCCTCAGTTTTACAACTATTCGTCTTTCTGTTGCAGGCAACACATGTATCGGAAACGGTCGACTCTGATCATATATCTGTCATAAAAACGATTGGTTTAAAATTAGGAACTTGTGTGAATAACTATATTGTTTATCAAAATATCTAAATCGAAAAATCGTATCAACATCGGACCACTATATCATATAGCTGCTGAAGGAAACATAGGCAAAATATTCTGTTTTAAAAGAGTTTTTGATTAAACTCTGCATTTTCAAGCTTCACTACTCTCACTTGTACAAGGGAATTGAATCTTAGGCGTGCCGAAGGTATCCTTTTATATGATATCGTTTTAAATTAATATGTTTTTATAAAAAAGACGCATATGCTATATGAACCTTTACTCCCATGATATGTATATGAAACAAACTCGATCTGCGCGGGAACTAGGAGCATCTACATCTAAAATTTCAAATCTCTAGCTCTTGTAGGTTCTGAGATCCTTGCGTTCATACATACGGACAGACGGACAGACAGACAGACGGACATGGCTAGATAGACTCGGCTATTGATGCTGATCAAGAATATATATACTTTATGGGGTCGGAGAAGCTTCCTTCTGCCTGTTACATACATTTGGATTTTGCACAAATACAATATACCCAATATACCCCTTAAGTTATTATAAGACCAATAAATAATAAGTAATAAATTATAAATAATTATGATAAATTATAAAACTTACCCATTATAAATGCAGAACTCGCCCATGTACTCAGCTCAGGTCCGATTGACAAACACGTGATTTACAGTTTTTATTTAAAGCCGTTTTAATTTATAATTCTTTAGTAGTGATACGCCCAATATATATATATTTATATATATATTTGTATATATATATTTAATTTGTTGTTGGATTATACATGGCATACAGTTGGATTTGTTGTTGTTGGCTGCCAAAGTTTGTTAAAACCAAATCCGACGGCAAAATACTCTGCCCCGTTTGCTCTGCTCACGTACCCGAGTTTCAATTAACTTCCATTTAAATTGTATATATAATTTATATATATGTATATTGTGAATTTCAAATGTTGTTGTATATGTACCATATACTCGTATATATGTACTATAAGTGGAGTTAGCTCAACAATATAGATTTGCTAATACTTGGATTTAGCTTCGGCATTTACTGTGTGCAGCTATTTAGTTTGTTTTTTGTTTTTCTTTGTTTTTCTTTTTCTTTTTGATTGGTTAAATCAGCGCATAATTGTGAGTACATTTATATGATTATTATAATTACAATTCTCTAATATTTTACAATTCCAAATTAGTATTACATAATAGTTTAACAAATGTTTACATTTCGCTACAAACTCAAACTCAATCCGCTCGCTTAACGTGATCTGTTTCATTATCTTTTTTAACGTTTTCCAATACTGAAAACATACGAAAGCGAACACCAAACAACATTTTCGTGGGGGGCGGATTCACACTTGTCGCGGGGTACAAGTGCGCCCCAATGTTCTGGCCCACACACTACGGCAAATTTGATTGCCCGCCGCACGTCCCGGCTTAAGCTCGTGCCTTGTCCGAAGCAAATTGCAAATGAAAAAATTGTTTTACAAATTTTTTGCCAAAGGGCTTACATACATATACACATATATATATATATATATATGGCTATAAGTTTTAAAGTTTTACTGCGTAGATATTGCATTGTAAGCACTTTTTTTTTAAGTTTCTTAGAAATGTACAGGTGGCCTTTGCATAAACTTTTTTTTTGTTTTTCATTTAGATATTATCAAAACTACGTTAAATATTTTGTTCGCTTTAAGCAATCTGCAGGTGGTTCTTTTGAAATCGAAAGTGAGAGAGAGGGGGAGGGAGAGAAATAGTGGAATCAGTTAGGATTAAAGCAGTTTATAGCGGTAAACTAAACGTAAAGCTTCTAAGCTGTCATTGACTTTAGACTATATGCAGCATTAAAGCGTTTTCTTTTTAATTCGTATGTTTTTCTTTTTCGTTTTTCTTTTTTTTTTTTTGTTGTTACCTTTTACTCTTCGTATATTGCCGTGCCATTTACATTGTTCATAACTCTTGTGGCTTTTCCTTTCTTTTTTTGAGAAGTTCAATAATATAGTTTATCGAACGCATACATATAGAGAATAGATTTGTATTTCTAGAGTTGCATTAACAAATTAATTGTAAACTGCTGAGCGTACGCTTACTTTAAGTCCCACACTACGTTCTATATACTGTACGGTCTTTTTCGTTAACACACACACATACATATATTATGTATATATTAATATATATTTAGGTATATATGTTTCTTTGTCTTGTATATGTATATGTAATTGCATTTTGTGTTTTCTTCATAAGTCTTTGCTTGACTTGCATTATTAATTAAACAATATATCGTAAATTGTTGAAAATTTGTGTATAAACAGCAAATATATATATGTTTTATACAATATTGTATTATATATATATATAGAAATATATATATGATTTTATATATGTTTGCTTTAGTTGCTCCTTTAAAATGCGTATATATGTTTTTTTTTTTTTGTTTGTGTTTGGAGTGTGCTGTTCTTTAAACATAGGCTCGACTGTATTCAACATAATATCACTTGGAAATTGAAAGTTTTGTTCGGCAATTAAATTATAAATTAATTAATTAATTAACTAATGATCATATTTATACAATTCGAAAACGTAAAACTATTTACAAAACATATTTGAACATAATACCATTTCTGAGCGCCTGCAAAGTATGCCACAAGACTTGTGACATGCCCAGTGTTGCCTACTTTTGGCTGCCCGGCGATTATCAAAATAGAATTATAATTAATAAACATTGTTGTCACTACTTAATTATTACGTACGCTTTGCATTTTGAAGTTTTATCTTGTTTTTCTGTAATGTGTTCTTATACTCTTATATTGTGTTCTTTCGCATGCACATTAACATTTGCGATGGAATCCTAGCTATCTATTTGTCAATTGCCAGCTGCCTGTTGGGCCTGCTTCAAGCGCCTGCTGATGCCCAGTCGCTGCAGCCAGCCATAGCCTGCGTCTCAGTAAACCAAAACGGATTCCATCGTAATCGTATCTCATTTGTTCGCGCTGCCCGCGTTCACCGCGCTGCTGGCCTGAATCTGCGATGCCGTCTGCGAGGCCGGCTCCAGTGTGCGTCGCGCCAGGCGGGATCTGTCAAGGTGTGATTAGGCACAATTAGATTGGATATATAAATATATGGGGCATCATTTGACTCACTTGATTTGACCAGCCAACAGCGGATTGATGGCATAGAGCCAGTCATGCACCTCCTTGTCGCCCAGTGTTTGCAGCAGGTAGCCGCGATGCTTGGTCACCACGCTGCGTGAATAAAATGGAAATTAATCAGTTATCTCTATATCAAATATTAACAGGTGTATGGCTTTGCCCAGTCAGATGTGTCTTTTAATCTTCATGTGTCATGAATTCCTCGGAACAGCTTAAATAAGTCTAACTATTTGAAAAAGTTAAACTTTCTAGCTCTTTCGGTTTGGACATTGGGATGACAATCAGTCAGTCAGGACTAGCAATTATGTTCGCATAGTTTAAGACTTAAGCTCACCTGAAAGTGTTGGGTATTTTGACCATGGCCGCCTGATCCTCGCTGCACTCAACCTGAGCTGTGGCCAGATTCAAGACAGCGCGTTCCACAGGATCCTTCTCCGAGCGATAGATAAAGACATAAGGACGTCGCACAATCTGAGCAAATACATAAATGGGTTATTCTGCTTCTCCTAACACTTTACAGGCGTAAGTATTTACCACCCAACGCTTCTTCCAGCCGGAACCGCCATGTTCGAGGACATTCAAGATACCCTTGCGTGCCACAACAGGACTAACGCGTATCTCCTCCAGCTCGGGCACATACAAGCGCAAAGGCAGCGCCGGCTGTGTGGCCGGAGCGGGTGCCTCCCAGCCGTTTGGAGCATCGGCACGGTCCGGTGAGCATAATCTGTGGATAGTCCAATAAATTTCAGGTTAGGTTAAGTTTTAGGGGCTGTGCGATACGAAAACAAAGTTACCTGTGTCGAATTACAAATTTGTTCTTTCTAATTGTGTGTTGAAAAAAAAACAAACGAAACAAAAACGAAAACAAATATCGAAATTGTTTTTGAGTTTGACAGTTCAGCAGAATAGTAGGGTGAGAATTTTAATTTGGCGTATGAGTGTTTTTTTTTGTGAGTGCATTTAACTGGAAAAAAAAGAGCCGCAGCAGGTGCAACAGCAGCTGCTCGTTTGGCAAAAGCCCTTAACCCAGTGCATATCTTGCATAGATCGCATCAGTTGGCATTTTGAACTCGGCATGTTACGTTTACTGCTGCTCATTTACTGCGGCGCACTGGCCGTGGTGATGCATCATGATAATCCAGAGCCGGATCGCCACAATTATATTTGGAATCCATTTAGCGCTTTCTGTGGCCCCAATGCCACCAGTGTGCGCTGCGGCGGCGTCTGCCCCGAGACCTGCTCCCACAAATCCGGCAGTTGTAGTCACCACTGTGGTGTGCCCTGTGTCTGCAAATCCGGCTACGTGTTCAGCGTGTCCCTGCTCAAATGCATTCGGCGCAGCGACTGCCCTCCGGGTGTACAGCAGCAGGAGGTGCAAACGCATCGCGTGTTTCAATAAAACTCCCTCAAATTCATAAGACTTGAGACTTGTTCAAAATAAATATGGGTCAACAGACAAACTTTGTCCCCTTTTTTTTCTAATTTTACTAAAAGAGGTTTCCTCGTTCTATGCAATATAATTGTAAAAATATAACTAAGAAAATGCAATGCATTTCAGTTTTTAAGAGGCCTTCGCATTCGTCATTTCATGCAGCTGTAAAACGAGCAATAGCTCTTAAACCTGGCCTATTCCGGCTTAAATCACACACCTCTATTAAAGATAGGCGCGAGTTTTTTTTATATATGCCATGTCGTGTTGCCTCGTGGCGTACGCACGAAATCACATTTTTGTATCAGGCGCCCATCAGCTAAACTTTAATGTATATGTTTCTATGCAATAAACTGTGTGGCCAATTTACTGTGTTCAACTAAAGGCTCGAAGAAAGCAAAGATGGGAATGGATAAAGCATGCGTTAAATAATTTTACAACTTACTCCATGGAATTGCTAGAGATGCAGCTAACGGTCATGTCGGCGCAGCCCTCATCGCTGGGCGAAACATCAGACTGGGTTTGTGTATCGCTCTGTTCGACCTTGCTGTAACGACCTGAAATGCCGAGACAGTTCGTTAAGCACCATTTCGTGTGTCCTTGCATTTAAGACTTGCCTTGCACCAGCTTCAAGCACTTGAGCATGAGCTCCTGCTCGCGCTGATTGTACTCGCGCTCGGGCATCATCTGCTGCGTATCCTTGACGGGCGTTTGTGGCGACTGTGGTATCAGCATGTGTACGGGTGAGGTGGCCGCACGTGCAGCCAGATTGCACACATCCTTCTCGGTTTTGGTGGTCGGATTGGGATTGGTATCCATGCCCAGACGCTCGCGCAGCAGCAACAAATGACGCATGCGGCCCACTTCCTCCAGACGCGTAAGTTTCTCCAGCTCCCATTGATGATCGAAGATCAGCGAGTCGCCGCGTGGCCGCCAGCCGTGCAAATTCTCCTCACCGCGCACATACGTGGAGCTGGTGTCCAAGACGCGACGCTGTCGACGCTGCACACCTGTCGAATGAAGCATAAGGCGTATTGAGTGGCGGGTTCTAAGACTTGTGCGCGAGAGCAAGGACGATTACAACTACAATGAGAATTGCTACCTGGACTACCTGCTTCGGATGCTCTGCGCAGCGAGAGCTCGTAGACGCCAGAGAGTCGATTGGCTTCCGGATTGCGATATTGGCCAGAGAACAGATGCTTCAGTGAGCGCGGACCGGTGCGTGCATCACGTCCATAAATAACCATACTGAGATCCTTGGTAATAATAGCCGGACGAGCGCAGTTATCCAGCTAAAAAATACATTATTTATAGGCTGTAAAGCTAGACTAGAATTGAGACAAACCTCCAGATAGGCGCTGAGTGTAATGTAGATAGTCTCGCCGCCCTGCGAGACGCGATTGAGTAGCGCCGAATTGTGCAGACTGGAGTCCCAGGCGGCCTCAAAGCGATAGAAGGAGCGATCATCGCCAGGCACCTCCAGAACCTCGCCCGGAAACAGGCCCAGCGACAAGACACAGGCGTCCTCATCCTGCTCATCCGAAGACTCGGGCGTATTGCGTATGCGTCCAACGACCAGCTCATTAATGTCCTTCCACTTCACCTCTGGCGTCGGCTCGTGCACAATGGTGATGCGTATGCGTCGCTGTATGCCCTGATGCAGCAAAAACAGCCCGCGGCAGGGAAGATCATCGCTGTGCTCAACCACCTGGGGTAAGACGTTAAGATCAGGTTAATACAAAGTAAGTAATGAGAATGATAGTTAATGAGCAGATTTCATTGCAATATATGCACTTACCGATGGCACGTACTCCCCATTGGGTGCTAGCTCACAGATCTCGAACCACACCAGCACATCATGCTTCGCCAAGACCGTGGATGATGGCGGACAGGGCAACGGTCCAAATTTGGGACTGCGCACTGGCTGACTTATGGGTATGCTTGGTGGCAGCATGCGTCTTGGTGGTGGACGAGAAACGAACTCCTGCTTGGCATCCTTGTGCAGCGGATGTGTCTGATAATGGCCAAAGATCTTGAACATGATGGGCTGTGTCTTCAAATACTCAATAAAGGATTTGGTAACGGGCACAGTTATCTAGAAGGAAGTGCAACATTAGCCAGGGAATACATTAAGAACTCAGCCGGAATACGCACATTTTGCACATGGTAGAAACCGAGCGGAGCGCCCGAGGCGGAGTTTTTGACCGGCTCCGTGGAGAAGGCTTCCTCATGGCGATGCAAAAAGCTGTGGGGATGAACAAAAGCTTCAGCAAAAGTGGGATCATTTTTGGTTAAAGGCAACCCACTTGAACTGACAGAAGATGTCTGCATACTCGGCGCCGATGCCCGTGGCCTGGAGCACGGTCACACGGAAGGTGAATTCCTTGCCCACCTCCAAATGCTCTCCCGGCTCCTCGGCATGCTCCTGGTACTCTGAGGCTGAATTGGAATCAATGCCACGACCAGAATCGGCATCCTCTAGTTCTACAGAGAGCGAAGATTGTTGAGAAAGCAGTTTTGAGTGCAAGTTCTAGGACGACTTACCCTCCAGTTTGCTGTCCAGTCCTCCATTGTCTATGTAACGCTGCACATCGTCCTTTTCGTTAAGCGCACGGTACTTGGGCTTGGCATCATCCTCGTTAAAGACCAGACGAGCTGACTGCTTGACCCCGTTATTGAAATCAATGGACTCTTCATCGAGCACCGGCTGCACGGCAATGCGTAGATAGCCCCGGACATCGCCACGTTCATTAACAATGGCCACCTTATGGACCAGGGGCACAGGATAGAGTAGGTTGCTCAGATAGATGAAAGAGCGACCGACCATGCGGAACCAAGGAAAGCGATCGTAGAAGGGATCACCTCCAGTTAAACTCTCCACATTGTAGTCCGGCGAAGTGGGACTCAGCTCCGCCTCGTTGTGATACATTTCGCGCATTAGTTCCAAACGTTGTCTGGAATGGATGGAAAGTATGAAAATGAATGGGGTTAAGTACTGCTTGGAAAGGTCAAGAAATACACAGAAAACAGTGCGCATGGCCTAAAGCAGACATAAAGAAGCCTAGTGAAACAGCAAATGATAATAAAAAAACTAGTTGCACTACATCGAAAGCCATCCGAAGAACTGCAAAGGAAAAGCTTAAGCAAAGGAAAATGCATGCATAGAGGGTGACAAAAGCAACTACAATACATACAAATGAAAAACCTCGAATGGAAAGCAAACCTAGAAGGTATCAGATTGGCCAATGTCAAACGCGTTGGATACGCCTGACGCAGCTGAGGCTTCAACTCGGGCTGCTCCACATGCTGCTCGAACTGGGCCAGGGACTGAATTGAATCCATCCCAGTCGCTCCACTACCGTACGCCTCAATGCTGGACGTATCGAAGAGCATAGACGAAGGCGGGCTCTCGACATTGTAAACTTGACGCATCAATTCGAGGCGATAGCTTTTGGGAGTTGTTGGGTAAACATGGTTTGATGTAAAGTTGGAACAAGGGTATCATTATGATTCGTTTGGGATAATAAGAGAACCAATAAAAAAGGAGTACAAATCAGCATTTGTTAAAGCCGAAACTAGCTTTGTGCTCAGTGTGTGTGACAATGGCGATGAGTTTTCTTTGGAGGGCGTAAATGGTGGCGGTGAATTTTGCCAACGTTTTGCAGTGGCTTTTCTTTAATTCAACTTTCAAATATCAAGTTAAGCAGTTCTAGAGCTTTACGAAAACTAGAATTCAAGAGCTACAACCACCATGCACGTACCAGAAAGGAAAAATAAAATCAAAACCAAAATACAATTATACCAAAACTAATAGAGTGAAGTTTTTTTTTAAACGAGAGAGAACAGTCGGCTTCAGACTGGCCGAACTTTGTACACCCTTGCATATAGATTAAACTACGCTTAGCTTTATGCCAGATATAAATACTTGTTCTCAACCCTAAAGAAGCAATATCTTTTTAGATTTAAAATCTTGTCCCAACTGACTTGTAACTTTTTGTTCATATATTATCCCAATTTTTGAATAGTTGTTCCCATAAGATATATATTTAATGACAATCGGATAATTAACAAATTGCTGCAAATGTTCTAGGTTATAATATCTTAAGCCCCCAAAAAGAATTCTACATAGTTTCCCCCATATGACACCTATATCTTCTACTTCTGTAACGCCTTTAAAAATATACGTTAAGGAATTTGCAACTATTTCTCTCCCCCTCTCTTTCAAACTCATAACACCCTCTGCAAGGATATAACAAAAGTGCAAAGAGTAGAAATGAATGTGAGCAACAAAAACTTGCTAGACCTAAGTTCTTGCAGCGCCATCCTTACCGTAGTTTCTCCAGCGACCAATAATGTGTAGCCCCGTTTTTGGTATCGGTGACCTCAACGGCGACCAGGGTCTTGGAAACTGGTGGAGCGCCATACTCATCCTCCGGCTGCATGGGCGTAACGCTGGAGGCCAGCTCCGGTGGCAGCGGTGAGTACAAGGTGTCGGTCAATAGGGTGAACTGGAATTGAACCTGAGAGAGAGAGAGAGAAATAACTGTGTGACGAATTGTAACTTATTCAACAAGTTTGACTGTCCCACCTTCTTCTTTAGCTCCACTGAAATAGCATTAGCCTCCTTGAGGAATATGGCATTGCCCCAGAGATCATCGCGCAATGATGTGAACTGGTGGTAGCGCCATTTGCGGAAGGCCCAAGCGGCTAGCCCAGCCTCGCGTGCCGTCCAGCAGGACTCGTACATCGGATTGGCTGTAGGGGTTTGGATAGAAGAATTTGACATACTTATCTAGCAACTTTTAGCCTTAACTTACTGTAGACATCCTCCTCCTGATGGAAGTCCTCTGGCGAGTAGCTGCTGTACATGGACATAGTCATCGACTGCTCCTCCACCTGCTTCTGCAGCGCATCGATGCGCGCCTCGTAGGATTTGCGTTGCTCTTCGAACTGTTGATCGGCCTGGAGCTTTTCGCGCTTGTACTGCTCCTCCAGATTGTCGAGACGCTTCTTCATCTCGGCCTTGAGATCGATGCCCTGTTTCTCTAGCAGCTCGCACTGTGCGAAATTCCAATCCACTTGCTGTGTGTCCGCCTTCTCCACCTCATTCTCTGCCTCGTTCTCGGTTATCTTTTCACGCAGCTCACGCGCCTGCTCCGGATTGGTAAAGCGGAACACATGATTCTTGCCCAGAATAACGCGAGAGCCTGTCTTCAGCACCTCGGGCTCGACGAGCTTGCGGCCATTAATGAAGATGATGGCATCCTTGTGGGGCAGCAGGGTGACGGTGCTATTGCGATTCTCAAAGGTGCAGTGCTCCTTGAGAATATGCGAGCCGGACAA